CTGCTGAAAAAATTAAACCAGTCGTACGAAAGTTCAGGTTTCTCTGTTTCACCCATTCTCTTCCATGCCCCTGGCACCACCAGGAAACGAGTCAGAGGTCTCCCTCCCGCAGCCCTGCAGCGCCGAGTCCCCCTGAATTGTCTGTGGGCAGTTCCGCCAGGGGAGGCTGGGCCTGCACAGGGGGTGTGTCTGCTGGGCCAGCTTTGCCGTCAGCAGGAGGGTGCACATCTGGGGAGATGGAAGTGAGCACCAGCTCTCGGCCCCGGTTTGTGTGGGCCCAGGGAAGGGGGTCAGCACCCAAGGAAGGACCCAGAGGATGAAGCATGGCGCTTCCCTGGAGGGAGGACCAGGATGATGTATTTGCTGTGTGAACGCGCTAGTGTAGGGCAGCGATTTTCAGCCGTTTCCTCTCGTGGCCCACATAAACTACTAAAATTCTGTGGCACACCAAAAAACATTTCTTGCCGATATGACCAAAAAAATTGGTATTTATTCACACCAGGCAGCTGTGTTGGCTGCCATTTATTTGGCCATCTAAGGGAAAAGAGTCAGTGCCCTCAGGAGTCAGGCATTGCATGTTTTAAAATGCGGTGGCACACAGCTGAAAATCGCTGGTGTAGAGGGTACGCTTGTGAGGATGTTCAAAAACATTTGGTGGAGGAGTGCACCCCTCCCCACCACCTTTAAGGCAGAAATATTGGCCACAAGCAGTCATGACGATGATGAAGGGTCCGCAGAGGAATCTGCGGTGCCCGGAGTAAACAGGCGGGCAGAGGGCACCAGAGGGCCTGGGCGCACGCTGCACCGCGGCCTTGCCTCCAGTCAGCACCCGGCTTTGGGGCTTTGGGAAGAGGAGGGGCGTTCGAGTGGGTGCAGGGGGACAGGCAGCCCCAGCCGGCAGTTGTAGTGGGACCGGTCGTCAAGGTGGGGGTCAGCTACATGCTGGGGACTGAGAGGCCTCCCGCGCGGAGAAGGGAGGACCAGACAGGCACCAGAGCAGTGGAAACGCCCGAGGAAAGACTGCGGGGCCTTAGAGAGTTTACCTCCTTCGCAGCCATCCTCAGGGCTTCCCCAGGGAGGGCTCCGGAAGAGGGGATAACCAGAGAAAGATGGGGAGAGACGGAGAGGGGGCGTGCGGGAAGGCCAGGCCTGGGAGGGGCTCCAGTGAGTGAGTGTCTGCACTTGATTTACCTTCTGCCATAGGGTTCAGATATGAGTCTCAGAAAATTACACGAACAGAAATAGACAATTTATTGCAAAACAAAAATAAGAGGAACCATAGACCCTGCGTGACTTAGCCGTGAGCAGTATCAAATACAAATCGTGAACACGGACACAGTGGCGAGTGTTGCTCTGGGAGCAGTCAGTACTGGGACTCGGGAGACTGCGAAGCCTGCAGGGTGTGTGCAGGGGGCGCCAGGTTCCCATTGTCCCATCGTCCTGTCCACAGGAGGAGTCGCGTGTGTAACATTCAAGAGAGCATATGTGTGAGGTTAGAAATGGTAAGTGCAGCACAATGCTCTCCAGGTCCATCCATGCTGTTGCGAATGGTAAGAGTTCCTTCTTTTTTTACAGCAGCGTAGTATTCCATCGTGTAGATGTACCACAGTTTTCTAATCCATTCATCTACTGATGGGCACTTAGGCTGTTTCCAGATCTTAGCTATGGTGAATTGTGCTGCTATGAACATAGGGGTGCATA